GAGGTCACGTTGGCTGGCCTGCTCCGCCTGCTCAGCTGCTGCTCGCGGGCCCAGCTCACCTCAACTCGGTGCGACGCGACGAATCGTCGGACGAACCCCCTTTCCCCCCTCTCCGCCCAACATCTGATTTTGTGTCGGACCAAATACGCATTATAATAACCAGCCCGAGTGCGGGCATCACAATAATTAGATGAGGTCACGTTGGCTGGCCTGCTCCGCCTGCTCAGCTGCTGCTCGCGGGCCCAGCTCACCTCAACTCGGTGCGACGCGACGAATCGTCGGACGAATCCTCTAGAGGGCGATGCGGACAAATTGCTCGCGCTTCTTGTCCGCCTCTTCGTGTTTTTTGTCCGCTCGTTTTGTGTTTTTCTTCTTTCTTTTCGCACGACCAAAGCCTGATGAGCCCCGGCCGGCCCCGTGTAGCGGCAGCGGAGAGAGGCTTCAAGTAACAATCGAGGTGGAAGAGGCATCGCATTTGGGGGGAATTACCAGCCGTCCGGGGAAACGACGCGGAATTGGGAATCTGCTCTTGTAAACAAGTGGGGCCTTTGTCCTGGACGGGAGGGAGGGGGGATCCCCATGTTTTATATTTACACTTTTAAGCATCTTTTGTGATGCCCACGGAAGTAAACAATACCACTTTTTGGCATTTCGTTGTAACTCTTACATTCATTTTGATTTCCTACTCCGACCTATGAACTACCGCGCTTCCCAGTAGATTCAGTTCAGGAAGGTGAGAAGAAATCCCGCACCTGAGTAGATTTGCGCCGACCTGCACGATATTAATTTGTCCAAAATAGCGCGACAACGAACGCCAGCCACCGGGTCGTCGAACCCGTCCCCGTCCCGTCCTGACCGTTTGCCATTAAACTGGCGCATCCTCTCTGTCGTGAGACGGCTGATGGAGACGGCTGTCGCGTAGAGTTTCTTCTTTCTCCTTCCCTTTTCCCGCGCGCGCGCCCGACTTGTCGCACATTAGTCGATGCAAATCGCAGAGGCGGAGGAAGAACTAAATGTCTCCTTCCTGTGGCCCCGTTGCCTACATCCCCTCCCGCCGCGGGAGGCCCTGCTGTGCCTCTGGACGCGGGGCCGGAGGGCTAGCGGTCGTGGCCCCCAATGGAAGCGGCGCCCCCCCTCCTCCCAGCTGATACAGTTTCGCACATTGGCGGGGCCTGCAGGCGGGGCTCCAGGCTCCAGCCGCTCCAGCCCGCTATATGCCTCCTCTTCTCCAGGAAGGCGAATGACCAGCAGCGGTCCGCTCGCTCGCTTGCTCGCCCGACACCTGCCCCCCATGCGTGCGCGTATGTGAAAGTCTTGGCGAATAATATGTATATCGTTCCCTTTTCCTTGTTTTTCTCCTCTCCGAGGGGTGGACCACTTGGATATTCCGGATACACACTAAAAAATATTCCAAAGGTTCCCGAGGGTACACGACTCCCGTAATCCTGTGTACACATGGAAGTGTAAAGTGTAACCCCTTTTTAATCCCTATGTAATCCTTGTAATACCTAACAAAATTTTGAAAAATTATAACTAAATTTTACCCTATCATCCAAGTCGAAATGTTTCAGACCCATGCAGAAATTCAATCAAATTTCCGTGTAATCCCTCGAAATTCAAGTGTAATCACGTAATCCTGTGTACACCCTTAATCCAAGTGGTGCCCCCCCCCCTCAGGTATTTCAGATATTCGACCAAAATTATTCCAGATGCTCCAAAAATATTCCAGATATTCCATATCTCCACTACATTTTTGGCCGTGCACGTGCCGAGAGGTTTGTCAGCGCTGTGTGCGTGCGCGCGCTCCGAGCCCAATCTCGCGTGATGGCGCTCTAGCTCGGCACAAAGGGCGTGGGCTCGGCGCGGAGGCGGCCGCCCGGTCGGTCGGCCCTTTCGTGGCTTTAATTTGTTTCCTCTTCTTCCGATAACCCGACCCAACCCTGGCCGTGCCCGTGACCGGTACGGCACTCCGTGGCAGAGTCGACCGCTCCGTGGCCTGTCAGGAGGAGGCCGCTCTGGCTGGTGGACCAGACGAACGCGCCGCGCGTCCACGTTTAATAGAGACGTCGCAATAAGTGGCCGTCCTGCTCGTGACCCGCTGCTCTAACGGGGTGCCGTACAGTTTTTACGCCGCCGTCGGTCGCTTTGGAGAATGCCGCCCGCAGCCGCCCGCGCGCTGAGCTGCTGGAGCTGGGAGTGCAGCGCTGGCGGCGCGGGAGGAGTCGGTCACAGAGAAGCGCCGCCGACAACGACTCTTAAACATTTTCCTGATTTCTTACTCATTTTTTTGTTGTTTTGTGCTGTTGCAGACAAGGCGTGGAGCGGCAGCAGCAACCGCGTGGCGTCGGCCGCCGTGGCGGAGAAGCAGCAGCAGGCGGCGTCGGCGGTGAAGAGCCCCTCGCCCAGGAAGGCGACCGCTCAGCGCCGCGCCACGCCCCTCAAAGGTGAGGCTTTCTACGTGTATAGAGTGGCGCCCCGCATCCGGGAGCCGGGCGGGTGGTGGCGCTTCTACAAGGAGACCACCACCGCCGCCGCTGCCGCCGACGCGTCCCATCCTTGTCATGCCATTTCATTTGTCGCTCCCGTTTGGCTCTCCCCCACTGGCGCCCCGAATGCGGCCGCTAAACGGCGGCGCCGCGGCTGCCGGTATGCCGTGCGCGGCGCCCCGGGAGAGTGGCCTTGCGCCCCCCCGACGGGATGCGATGCGCCTCTCCCGAGCCTCTGTCCCCTTCTCTGCATGTCGTTAGTCGCCGTACACAGGCGCGGCGTGTCTGGCTGACAGACAAGGCACTACTGCCGGCGCTACCGCGGCTCCCGCTGCTGCCGACCACCACAATAAACGGGTAATTAGAGGCCCCGCCTCAACACACACACGTTCGCGACTTTTGTTTTATTTTTTTTCACCCGTCTGTTTTTCTCTCACGTTGTGAAGAGGGGCGGCAGCAGCGGCGGCGGCGGCACAAAGTTATGCAACGCCGTTTTGCCGCGGTACGTCAATACGTTTACGATCCGCTTGTCGAGGTTGCGCCGTCCGTCGGTCCGTCCCCCCGCCCGCGGCGCAGCACGAGTCAAGTGGTGGCCCACCGGACGGCACGCCGGCGCCGTCCTCCCCCGCGGCTACAGCAGGTGGGCGACGACGGGGTCAACGCGGTCCTCGTATGCATGCACGCACCGCGACGAAGCCGTATACACTCGGCGGGCCCTGGGCCCTCGCCTGGGCCCCACACGCCGCGGTGTAACCGAGCCTCGCCGCTTTCACGGTTACGTTAACGCCGTTCCCAGCCCCGCGGGCGCGGTGCGGTGCTGTGCTGCTGGTGTCCCCCTGCGCTCCCGCGTGCTTCTACAATTAAAAGCGAGCCCGGGCCTCCTCCGCGGCCGCTTGCTGCTGCCCCCCGCCGACGACCCTTGCCTTCCTGCTGCTGCTTCCCCGCCCCCTCTTCCCCATAACTTTGCCCCCTCTCTCTCTCTCTCTTAAAAAAAAAAATAGGACGTCGTTTGCCAGCGGCGAAGCGCCAGAGGTCCTTACCTCCTTGCTGCTCGCGGCCGCAGCATCCACTCCCCCTCTCCCTCCTCCCACCCGCCCTCCTTCCGGCTATTGTGTAGGGCGTCACGGCGGCCGGCGCTCTGCTATGCAGCTCTGGGAGGACCTTGCGCCTCCTCCCCCCCGACCCCCCTGGACCCCCGAGAAGAGTCGATCGCCCCATAACTCTGGCCCACGTCTGATCGGCTCCATTGAGCGGCAGCCGCAGTAGCGACTTTTTCTCTCTGCTCGCCGCCCCTGCCGCTGCTGCTGCTGCTGTTGCGTGAATACGAATATTTGGGGCGTGTGGGCTGCTAGATGGCTGCCACGGCGAGCATCTGTCTGGTCGGAATCGATAATGCTAGCGCTCGAGCGCGCGCCCCGCCGCCTGGCCGGCCCCGAGGGTGTCGCGTTGCCCAAGCTGCTCGCGGTCGCGGTGGGTGCTGGCGGGGCGGGGTGGACCACTTGGATATTCCGGATACACACT